CCGGCTGTAATCAGATTCTCGCAACGCCAACAACGCATCCTTAACCGAACTATTACCAAATAAAGAATCGCGATCGCCAAATATCATAGATTTAGGTTTGTACTTCTTGATATGATTCTTAATGATACGTGAAATGTTACCATAATTGAAAAAAGGCCATGAAGGGTCAAAATAGTTGAGGCAGAGGAGCGTGACAGCAATGGGATGGTTGTAGAGAGCGTACGTCAGTTTACAGGCGTCACTAGAGTTAAGGTACTCAAAAATACCAGACAATACCGGGGTATAAACAATGAGAGGGTGCGCGTTCAAAGAGCCAGGAAGCGGAGGGGTCCGTTCCGCGTCCGCAGGCGTCAACTTGTAATAGTACTTATCGGGTTTAATTTGAGCATAACAAAGCATGTATTTCTTCTGATTGATGCTATAAAAACCAACGTCCAGCAACGCTGACAGCCCGGCACCTTGCAAGCGAAGCGATGTAAGTAAATTAACGCAATTAATGTGGTACCAGGAAGTCGGGTTCTTGCCGCGAGGTGTAGGCGGGTGCTTCGGGCGGGTGACTGTGCAGGATGGCGAAGCGGCGAAAGGCTCTATCAGTCGAAGGACCTCGCTCCAATTCATCCTCCTCCAGACTCCAAAAAAATAAAGCCTGAGGACTGGCTTGTCCTCCACAACGAGACGGGGCAAATCTGGCAAGGGCTCGAAAGCTGCCGAGTTGGCACGAGTCCGACCGAAGCGGGCCGGCCTCAAACGATGCTGGATATCGTCCCTATACTTCGACGTCTCCATCCTGGTGATATCCTCCATTACGCCCTCAGAAAGCTCAGCAATATGCGGAAGAGTCTGTCTATTCAGCGTCGGTCGCGTACGCGGTGGTGTATCATCGCGTACGCGACGGTACTGTTTTGACCCACGGAACATTCAGATCTCGCGTACGCGACGGTACTGTTTTGACCCACGGAACATTCAGATCTCGCGTACACGACGGTACTGTTTTGACCCACGGAACATTCAGATCTCGCGTACGCGACGGTACTGTTTTGACCCACGAAACATTCAGATCTCGCGTACGCGAAACCCGTCGCGTACGCGGTGGTGTATCATCACGTACGCGACAATTACTTTTTGTCCCGCGGAAGATTCAGATCTCGCGTACGCAAAATCCGTCACGTACGCGGTGGTGTATCGCGTTCGCGAAATCCGGCGCGTACGCGATGATACCACTGCGTACGAGACGGTAAAATTTGTTGACCTCGCGTGCGCGAGACCAGAATGTTTCATAGACATGTAATGTACTGACCGCCCAGTCAGCACAACGCGTGCGCAGAACCCGAAACACACACACACACACACACACACACACACACACGCACACATCGGCCTCCTTGGCTCAGTGGGTATAGTTCTTGCCTGCTGATACAAGGTACGCCGTAGGGCGTGGGTTCGATCCCCACCGGACGAATTTTCGAGGTTCGTTTTTTCGCCTGGTGTGGTCGAGCCTGTGCCTGAGGTGGAGCGGGTACCACTCAAAAAGAAGACCCGGGCTATGTCATCAGCCTCCGAAGCGGTAAAAAACCCCGATCACTGTGCGAGCTGGAAGCGATAGGAAAACCATAAGTAGGAGCCCGAGGCGAGGACTCACAAGGCTGGCAATAGATGGAGCACACCACTCCCATGATGAAGTC